CAGGTGGTAGGGGGTCCAGGAAGGCTGATGGGAAGGACTCCCAGTTGGTCACAGAGATGGAAAGGACGGTACCAGTTCTCCGGGTGTGGGCACCAAAAAGTCCACAGACAACATTACCACAGGTCAGAGTTTGGAATGTATACCTCTTTCCTTTGACAGATTTGGTCCTATGTCCTTTGCCAAGAATAACTTCCTCAATGTAAAGGCTATGTGCCTCAGTTTGGTCCTAGGATAATGCCAGAGATATGGACTAAGCTTGTTTTTAAATAGGCCAACTATTGATTTATTTAAAAGCTAGATTCTACTCCTGTTTCAAAAGTTCTAATTCAGAAATCACCTCCTTTTAACGTAGTGGTTCTTCATCCGTGAGCATCTGAACCACATGGTGGGCTTAAACTACAGACTGCTTGGAGCCCCACCTCCAGAGTTTCTGAATCAGGAGGTCCAGGTCAGGGGTTGAGAATCCTCATTTCTCTTTTCTTTTTTTTTTTTTAATGTTTTTTGTTTTGTTTTGTTTTTTTAATTTTTATTTCTAAGAGACCGCATGAGCAGGGGAGGGTCAGAGAGAGAGGGAGATACAGAATCTGAAACAGGCTCCAGGCTCTGAGCTGGCTGTCAGCACAGAGCCCTACGTGGGGCTCGAACCCACGAACCATGAGGTCATGAACTGAGCCAAAGTCAGATGCTTAACCAACTAAGCCACGCAGGTGCCCTTCTCTTTACTTTTTTTTTTTTTTTTTAATGTTTATTTATTTTGAGAGAGCATGCCCCCACATGTTCACAAGTGGGGAAGGGGCAGGGGCGGTGTGGGGTTGGAGAGAATCCCAAGCAGGCTTCGTAACAGCACAGAGCCCAACGTGGGGCTCAATCCCATGAATCCCATGATCCCATGAGATCATGACCTGACCTGAAATCAAGAGTTGGATACTTAACCGACTGAGCCACCCAAATGCCCCAAGAATCCTCATTTGTAAGAAGTTCCACTGGCGATGTTGCTGTGTGCTGGTGTAGAGACTCACCAGTCTATGGGACTTCTCCACTGGGGCCACTCCCCACTCTGAGAATGCTTCTCTTCACAAATGCTTAGCACCTCAGGGTACCAGGGGACTGTAATTCGAATATGTTCTTATGTTGTTTGGAAATCATTCTCTCACTCCATATAGCATCGTTTGCCCCCTGAAACAATGAGCCTTTTTTTTTTTTTAATTTTTTAATGTTTTTTATTTATTTCTAGGAGAGAGAGAGAGAGAGAGACAGCGTGAGCAGGGGAGGGTCACAGAGAGAGGGAGTCACAGACTCTGAAACAGGCTCCAGGCTCTGAGCTGGCAGTCAGCACAGAGTCCGACGTGGGACTTGAACCCACGAACCGCGAGATCATGACCTAAGCGAAAGTCGGACACTTAACCGACTAAGCCACCCAGGCGCCCCAACAATGAGCCCTTTTAAAGCAGGAGATTTGTTTCCTGCTTCTATCATCATTCCCACTTCCTCCTTCCCGCCCCGGCAAGCTCCCTAATATGGGGCCTGCCGGTGGCTACAGTGTGCAGTAATGTTAGGAACACTAAGGTTCATTTCGGCCCTGGCACTTACTCGCTAGGTATCCCAGAGAACTTTGATTTCCTCATTGGGAAAGCGTTTAATAATCCCACCTTCGCCATAATCTCCAGAGTAAAGAGTTAGTTAAAGTACAAAATAAAAAAATAAAAACTAGGCTACACACCATGCATATAACATGCTCCCATTTGTATTTTTGAGAGAGAGATGTAAATAATCCTGCTTGTATGTGCATAGGATGTCTTCAGAAGGTGCCAAGAGGAACTGATAACAGTGAGCACCTCAGGAAGTCTAGAGTAGGACAGCCAGTTTTTATGGTAATACCCTTTGGGTAAATTTGTTGTTTAAAATTTTTCCTAGCAACATATTGTTTTTAAATTTTAAAAACTAGTTAATGAAATAATAAGTTCTTTTTCAGAGGAAATGTAACAACTTTAAATAAAGCCCATAACACAGAGCCTAGCACAGAAAAATCACTCTGTAACTGTTAGCTTTTGTGTTGAATATTAAATAATTGTAGAATTCATCCATGTATTTGTTAACAGACGAGATCACCAGCTATCCTGTAAGCCAGCCATGCAGATATGAGCCAATCATTTCTCAAGCAGCCTTGCTATGTTAAGTAGAGAGGAAAACTTGTTTGCAAAGGTCCTACTCGTCATTGACTGTAAACACATCCTTTGGCTGGGTCCTGCACCCCTGCAGGTCACCATCACACAGCTGCTCCCTACCGCCCCCCTTCACTGGCTGAAAACCTGTTTGGGGCCCAGTATGGGGGTACAGAGCAATGCAGCATTGCCCTCGAATGTGGGTGCTACCCAGGTGGCCAGCCCATGCTGAAGGTGAATGGTCACGGGCAACTGACCCCGTCAAATGCATTGGAGTCCCAGGGACTCCACCCAGGCTTCTCAAAGCTGTGAAGGGAACCAAACAGGTGGGTAACCTTTGGCTTGGAACAGTCCATATTTTGTGGGATACTTGTGGGAAGGAGCAGCAGGGTGTATCCTGTTTCTAAGAAAACAAACACCCGGCACAAACACGCTACGGTGAGAGGTTCCCTGGCTGATGTGTTGGTTGCTACCTCTTACCCAACTGTTTATTGAGGCCCCATTCTCTGCATTAGTCAATATGACAGGAAGATGGCGTGCGATAACTCACCTGTCTGGTTAAGGGTGTGGCTTTGAAGTAGGCGAGATCTGAGTTCAAATTCCTTCTCTACAACTTAACTAGCTATCTGATCTTGAGCAAATTATTTAACTTGAGCTTTAGTCTTGACAGGTATGATAAAGCTGAGGTCTTACAGTTGCAGATAATAGTAAATAAACTAATAACGGTATAGACCATTTGGTATAGCACCCGGCACAGAATAAGTAATGAATAAATGTTACTGGTATACTATTATTATTGAGCTAAACTTCTCACAGTTTGGTGGGAAGAAAATACTCATACAGACAAAGTCAGCTGCAGAATAATAAGCAATAGCTGCTATACCATTAGCACCAAAATAAATGTGCTGGATGACAGCTATATGTCTTCCTTCAGAAAGAGTAAACATAAGTACACACACCTCCTGCTCCCTGCCTCTCTCATGCCTGGGCCACCCCCTTATGGGTCCTTGAACCCCTGAGCTTTAAGCATTTAGCAGGAATTCATAAAGGGCATAAATCGCCGCAAGCAGAAACAGAGAGGCCTTCCTGGAAGAGATAAAAATGTGAACTAGGGCCTAAAAGAAGAGAGGATTTTTTATTTTATTTTTTTAATGTTTATTTATTTTTGAGAGAGAGAGAATGTGAGTGGGGGAGGAACAGAGAGAGAGACACACACAGAATCCAAAGCAGGCTCCAGGATGTCAGCAAATAACCCAACACAGGGCTCGAACCCACGAACCATTAGTTTATGACCTGAGCCAAAGTTGGCGGTTAACCATCTGAGCCACCCCGTGCCCCAAGAAGAGAGTATTTAAATGGGCCAAGAGAAACAGGCACAGAACTTGCTCAGATACTTGCAAGAGGACTGGTAAACACAGCGCACAGACAAAATGGGGAGTGCGGTGACAGCTCCCTGGCACTACAGCAGCATTGCAGTGAAGCTTCTGGGCCTGGCCTCTGGAATCAGGCTGCCTGGGCTCCCCTCCCACCCCAGCAGCTTGCTAGTGTTGGACACAAAGCACACACCTCACTGCTCCGTGGCTCCATTGCTTCATTGGCGATGAGAAGGTTTTTATTTTGGTGGCAGAAATATTAGAGAGGATCTGGATTGCAAAGCTGAGCCCTCTGGACTTTCCCGAGGTCCCAGGAATCCTTTTCTGAGACCAGGGGAAATAAATTGACAGTGGCATTGTATGTGAGCACACGGTGTTCAGGAGAGATTAGATCGGAGAAGGAAAGATGAAAGGCATGAGTCCTGTTACGGGGCTGATACTGTGGCCCTAACTTGAGGTGCCGGGAGTCCAGACAGAGGTGAAATAGAAGCAGAGAGAATGGGGAAGAATAAAAATGAAGAGTTTGTTAATGTGTAGGGATCAAGAGAATTTGGAAAGTGTCTGATGAGGCAGCCACTGTGACCCATGAACACTTAAAGTGCGGCCAGTCTAAATCAAGATGTGCTGTACCTGTAAAATGCAGACCGAGTTTTAAATATTTAGTAACCAAAAAAAAAAATAATCTGTTAGTTTTCTTACATGGATTACATTTTGATTTTGGTCATATTCATCTAAAGAAACTATCAAAAGTTTACTTTTTTCTTTTTTCCATGTGGCTACTAGAAAAAATTTTAATTGCATATGTGGTTCACATTTCTATTGGTTGGTCTAAGGAATTAAGAGGAGGCAAAAGGGATGCCTCATGACCAGGACAGTGGTGGTGTCACTCATAGAGAAAAGGACATCAGCAAGGTTTGAGGCAGGCAGTGGTATTTCACTGGGTTTTCCATGTGTTGTGTTTGAAGCAGCTGGGCAGCTGCTGCACATAAATTTATTTTTAATATTTTAGTGTTTATTTTTTGAGTGAGAGTGAGCAGGGAAGGGGCAGAAAAAGAGGGGGAGAGAGAATCCCAAGCAGGCTCTGCACTGTCTCTGCCCCCAGCGCAGGACTCCAACCCACAAACTATGAGATCATGACCTGAGCTGAAATCAAGAGCCGGACACGCAACTGACTGAGCCACCCAGACGCCCCTGCATGTAAAGTTAAATAGGCTTTCACTTAAGACGTTGGGATTGTGGTAAAGGATTGTATGCAAAGTGCGTTGGTCATAGTTAACGTCATAAGGGTAGAACATTGTCTACCTTACTGAGGACCAGTGTGGGTCAGGCAGGTGCTGTGTAATGTACATACATCCTTTTATTTCCTCCTGGTAACAACCTTGTGAAGTACGTACTATTATTATATCCTTTCTCATTTTACAGATGAGGAAACTGGAGTTTAGAGAAGTGAACCAACTTGAGGTGTAGTAAGTGATGAGCCGGGATCCAAATTTATCTGTCAAAGCCTTGTTCGCTCTGCGATATCAGTCCTCCAGGTCAGAGCCCCTGAGAAAATGGAGTCAGAAGAAGGAGCCATATTGTAGAAAGGAATATCATTGGACAAGCAAGAACAGGATAGTCAAGCATCACTAAGAGGAGAAACTTTCCAGAAGGAAGTGGCTGTTCAGAAACCCGGGTGAGACTTTTATAGCAAAGAAGTATGTTAGACGATAACAGCTATTTCACACTGAAGCACACTGAATCCTGTAAATTAAGGTCATTAAAAAGGAGTTAGTATTTTCTAAGGCTTGTTCAGAACTTTGGAAAGTTAAGCATAGGTAGGAAGTGATGTTCTTTTCAATGGACATACTCTAATTTCCGGGCAAAAATAACATGGGTAGAACCAAGAGCCAAGACTCTGACAATCGTTATTGGTGTTTCTCAGGAGGACCAAATCAGAACCACGGAGGAAGCTTTAAATACAAATTCCTGGACCCTGCCACAGACTTACTGATTTTTTTTTTTTTTTAAATAAGTGCTTCAGAGGTTCTAGATACACAGTGAAGTTAGGAACCCACTACGCAGTCATCACAGCTCTCTCCTGGATTTATTACCCTGATGGGCTCATTCTCATGGCTTCCTACCAGCTTCGCTAGGGATTATGGGATCATCCTCTGTCTTTAACAATAGCCCTGCCTAGAATCTGGGACAGTCCTTCTTTTAAAGAAAAGCAACCAGTTCTTCACTTAAGTCTTCTCCCAAGGCCACTTTCTCGACACCTACTGTCATTGCTATGGAGACCACCTATCTAAAGGAGTAGTGGGCCCTAAATGGAGGTCACATCTTCTTTTGTGCAGGGCTCCTGACAGCTCCCCCTGCCCCCTTCCATTCCTTCCTTGTACTTTTGATGTTCAGAGACAAGCAATATAGGGTGGTGAGTAAGAGGATGACCTTGGGAGTCAGGTGGCCCTGAGTCCCAGCTCTGCTACGTAAATCAGCATAATCTTCATCAAGATTCTTTTGACCTCTCTGTGTTTCATCTATAAAACAGAAATGATAAAAGAACTCCTCTCTAAGAGGATTAAATGAAATGATTCATGGAATTCACTTACCAGGCACATAATAAATGGTGGTAGCGGTCAAATTTTATCATTATAACAACAACAGTAACATCATCGCCACCATCACCATTGTTATTCAGGGACATGTGGCTGGCTGGCAGGTAAAGTGAACTCATCAGAGATACCAGATAAAGACCTCACAGGGGTCTGCAAGTATAAATGCTACTTTTAGAGGATGAACTCTTGAGGTCTTGAGAGAGTGCTCTTCTTATTTTTCATTCTAATTCTGAACTTATATAAACTCTGAGAAAAACTCCAGTCACTCTGTCTTCCCCCAGCCCCAACGACATTTTCCACTGTTCCGTGCAGCCCTTCCTCATCTCTCCCTCTCATTTTTCTCCCCCATAGGCCAGTCACTCCTTCTTTTTGCCCTTTGCTCTCAAAACTGGACAGGAACAGGGCAGGACATGGGGCTGGTCACAGGTTCACCACCTTCGGTCTTACCGCCTGTGAGCTCTGGTTGGAGAGAAGGAGAAAGAATCTTACACTTCCATCTCGGTGTTTTCAGGTCTTAGGGCTTGATATGTTCAGCAATCATGGCATGATAATAATAGAAATCATAGCTAGCCTTTGTAAGTTATTTACAGATTACAAAACAACAGATTAACAACTGTGTATCAGTCAGGGTTCAGTTACAACAAACAGAGTGCTTGGCAGTGCCAGCAGAATGGGCTTTCCTACAGGGGATGAGGTGCTTGCGTAATCAGCAGAAGGGCTGGAGGAACTGGTTCCTGACTTCCAGACCAGGACCAGCTTCCAGACATCACCATAGAATTACTCCCACCCACACCCCCCTACCACCACCACCGGGGCCCAGCAGGAAGCAGAGAATTGGGAGGCTGCTGTAGCCACACAGTTTCTTAGCGTCACATTGCCAGCAACTGCACACTGGGTTGCTCCCAAAGAGCAACGTGCTCACCACCCTGCTTGCCTGCAGAAAATAAGCCAGGCCGCAAACACTGGCCTCCTCACTTCCACCTTCCAGATCTCTGAAAAACGCATCCCCACCCCTTTGGTGGAGCCCCATCATCCAGATTCTAGTTGCAAGGGAACCTTAGTAGCTTAGTTGGCTCAGGTTGCCATAACAGTACACAGGCTGAGTGGCTTAAATGGCAGAGATTTGTCTTCTGGAGGCTAGAAGTCTGCAATCAAGGGATCAACAGCCTTGCTGTCCTCCAAGGACTCTGCATGGCTTGTAGATGGCCATCTTCTCCCCGTATCTTCACATGCTCTTCCCTCTGTGCCCGTCTGTCTCTGAATTCCTTTTTTTTTTTTTAATTTGAGAGAGAGTGCATGCATGAGCAGGCAGGGTAGGGGCAGAGAGAGAGAAAAAGAAAGAATCCCAAGCAGGCAGTACACTGTGAACACAGAGCCTGATGTGGGGCTTGAACCCATGAACCCGTGAGATCATGACCTGAACTGAAATCAAGAGTTGGATGTTTAACTGACTGAGGAACCCTGGCACCCCCTAAATTCCCTCTTCTTGTAAGGACACCAGTCATACTGGATCGGGGCCCACCCTAATGAGCTCATTTAACTTAATTGTGTTAAATTAAGTGTAAAGGCCCTATCTCCAAATACAGTTTATTCTGAGTTGGGGGGAGGGGCATTTTTCTTTCCGTCACTGTGGTGTCGCAGGGCACCACAGAAGGAAGGGAGGGCAGCTGTCCAGTGCCAACCATCAGGGACTGTAGGTGCCTAGAGTACTTCGCAGGGGGCGTGATCAGAAGGTATAGGTACTTAACACTTCAGCAAAAGTATTCTTTGTATTTATTACACTTACATGCATATTTTATCTGATGCTCTTAACAGCTCTTTGAAATATGAACGTTATTATCCCCATTTTTCCCATGAGAAAATTGAGGCTTACATAGGTTACAAGTCCTTCCAGAGGGCCCTAGATCTAGGCAGTGGCAAGGACAGGAGTGAGCTCAAGTCCCCTGTCCTAATCCTTGAGTATGTCCCTGGAACGAAATGTCCAAGGCATAGTACAAAGGCTGTGTCTTAAGTTCAAATAGAGGGATAGGCAGGTATGTCAGCAAATGTTAAAGCCACAGCCTCTACTTAGGTCCAGCCCACTTTTATAAGATTCTCTGATTTTTCCAGAAATCTTTGTCTTAAAGTGATAGCTCAGTTTTTCAAATGTTGACAATTTAAAGTTAAAACACACACACGTACCACATACACACACGGTTGAGTTAACCCTGTGCAGGGCCTGACCAAACATATCCATAGTCTGGATTCAGCCTGCAGGCTCTGATTTAAAACAAGTGTTCAGGAGATAGAGACACCGTTCTAAGGATCTGACTGTACTCCCTCTAGGGCCATATTAAAGCCTGCTGCTAACCAATCATATTACCTTGAAATTCTTCTTTTACTCTTTTGCTGGGTGAATTTTTCTTCTGTTTCATACCGAATGCATGATTTTCGGTCTTGTCAGTAAAGCAAGAGACCCAGCACTTATTAAATATCTGTGTGCACAGGGTACAGTACTGATAGGCACTCTTGTTTCTCTTCCCAGCAACCCTGTGAGGTAAGTATTGCCGCCTGCACCCTGTTAATAGATGAGGGGCACTGACAAAGAGCCAAGCCAGGGAAAGACATTAAGACTTTGATAGTTGAAGGCAAGATCAGAAGGGAAGATCAGATGGAAACCGTTTCAGGGTTTTTTGTTTTTTGTTTTAACCTGCTCTTTTATTATAGACACAAGGGGCGTATTTACTCAGAACGCTGGCTTTGGTCCAGGCCTTCAGTTATTGGCCTGGCCAGGATGACCTTGTGATTCAGCTGCTGCTTCCCTGCTCCCTGACACACTTTCCAACCCCACCCTCTCCCTGCTGCAGGCTGCTCTGGACAAAGATTAAGATGCTCTTCTTTCCCTAATGGGAAATCTTGTTCCTAGGAATTTCTAGGAACCTAAGAATTCAGATGAACAACAGCCTTAAAACCAATGCCAACTATTTGAATCACTAAATATTACATATGTGTATTTAGATCTGCTAGCCACATGTAAAAATGTGAACAAGGCCGCAGAAGCGATAGCCGGCGTTTCCTCAAACTGAGGTTCTGTGCAGGCCTCTGCCCTTTAGGGAGGCAGAGACAGGGATAGAGGGCTGGGGGCTCAGGATCTCCAGATGCTGACCTCAGTCCTTGCCTGGGCGTGACAGAACATTCTTGCTTAGCTTGCGGAAAGGAGAGGGGAGGCCTGTTTTGCAGGGCACTGGATAAACAGATGCTTTCTGCACCAGAAGGGATGTTGCACAGAGCAGTCAGCAAGCCCACAACTGCAGGTCATCGGTGTCAAGGTCACCTTGCCCTGAGTGTTTGTGAATCAAATTAATTGGAATTGCATCCTCGGTGCAGTAGGAAGCATGGTTTCCAGTGTGAAAGGCTTACAAACTGGTTCAGGGCTTATGAGTTGGGTTAACTTGAGGCAAGTTTTTCAAACTTCAGTTGTCCCATCTATAAAATGAGCATGAAATAGTAATACCTTTCAGGATCGTAGTGAGGCTTCACAGACCACTGCGAATGAAAGCAATGTGTGCAGTCTAGGATTGCATACAAATATCAGGTGGTGTTTGCCTTGGAAGCTATTCTTAAAATAAGAATAAAGCAAGCCTTTTATCCACCTGGTAGCACAGACAGACATCCTTGCCTTTGAGGGAAGAGCAAAAAACCCAAAAAAACCCTCTCAAGGCACAGAGATGGTCGGAGCTGTCTGTTCTCTCCATCTAGCTGTTGAGAAGATGCAAAGAAGCTGCAGGCGGGGAGGAAGTCCTCAGCGAGACCTCCAGCTCCTGGAAACACCTTCCATCTCCCCCCAGTCAAATAGTGGTGGCTGTTTTTGCAGTGACAGGAGGCAGCTCAGCCCTGAGTCCCTCCACAGGACTCCTTAAGTTGAAACAGTAGAACTTTGATCTGACTTCTCCCTAAGAAGAATGTTGTAGTAGGAGATGTTGTTCTCCAGCGGCCCCATACACAGCTTTTGCTAGGAATGGCCACAGATATCCCCCATTTAATTGACCTGCCAAATGCTATTCCTGTACAGTATTCAGTGGGAAGTTGTTGGTGTTTAATAATCTGTGAAGCTGTGAAAATCACCCATCTCCTAAACTTTAACTACTTTTCTGGGTGGGTTTAGACATGTGCCAGGAGAGGGAAACAGACTTTGAGAACTCGTATTTGCTTTGGGAGCCCGAGAAAAGTTGGTGGGGCCAGAGGAGGGGCTCCACTCCTCCTGAAGCAGAGGAGAAAGGGTCCCCAGGGGAAGGAAGCCAGAAGCTGTCTGAGAAATGGGAAAAGACTGAAGGAGCAAGTCAGAACTCTGATATCAGAATAGGGGACAACTGCCAGAAGCGCTAAGCCTGCAGGCATGAACTGTGAATTGGTACCTGTTTTCAGTCACGACTCTTATTACCGGAAGAAACTCCTCCGTGTACTAGAAGGCAAAGTTTCTCACCGATTTTAGAGGGACTACCCCAGTATTTTTTAAAAATTTTTTTAATGCTTTATGTTTTGATATCTGGAGGGAGGGGCAGAGAGAGAGGGAGACACAGAATCTGAAGCAGGATCCAGATTCCAAGGTGTCAGCACAGAGCCTGATGCAGGGCTCGAACCCATGAACCACGAGATCATGACCTGAGCCAAAGTTGTACGCTTAACCGACTGAACCACCCAGGTGCCTCTACCCCAGTATTTTATAAATAGAGCCTGACCATGGGCTCTTTGCTCATAGCTTTGTGGGAGGGAGCAACGAATGGTCCAGGCTGACCAATGTGAACTGGTGTGCAGTTAGAGGAAAACTCGCTCAGGCCTTGGAAACTTTATGCCCTGGAGGCTGAAGGAAAGAGAATGCTTGGCGTTATTCTCATGCAAAGGGACGTGTAGAAAGTCCTTAGGATGGAGCCTGGAAACCACAGGCCCTTCAGAAGGGTATCATATTCACATTCTGGAGGCTAGGGGCCAGTCCTCAGAACCTTCGCCAACTGGCGCAGGAGCCCCATTTACCATGCTGCAGGGCACAAAATGTGCAACTAGAATGCGTGAATCAGGGTGCTTCACTGTGCTTGCAGGGAGGTTTGCCTTCTGCCTCCGGCCCATTTCAGAGGCTCTGTTAATAAGAGCTTGCCTGGGAGCACAGAAGAACACTGGGCCAGGCCACTGGGTATGAGCAAAACCCCTGGGAGCAGACCCTGGCTAGGCCTCTCCCTTGGGTGGGGCTGGATGACCGGAGTCTGAGGAAGAGGCAGTGAGGCAGGGAGTGTGTTGAAATGAGGTCGCCAAGGCCTAGGATAAAGCAGGGCCACCCTGCCCTGCCATAGGACTCCTCCTCCCAGTTTCCTGCACGGCCAGGACATCCTTATTCTAGGGGAATCCTCTGTTGCCTGTCACCAGCCCTTTCATTCTGCCCGGAGAGCAGAGTGCAGCAGAATGGCCTAAGGAGGCACTTAAACAGGGGCCTCATTCCACAGCCCACCCAGGCCCAGTCGTCAGAACCCTGGAGCCTCACTGACCTGGGGGAGGCAGCCAGGTACACGGAATTCTGATTCATCGTGTTGAATATGGCCTCCTACGGATAAATACAAGAGCAGCTGCTGTTTGGGGAGTGCCTTGGTCCTCCGATAAATACTATATGTACATGAACAAAGGGGCTCCTCAAAAACCATCATCTCAAATTATGCAGAAGAAAACTTGGGGCCATAGAGGTTAAGTGACCAGCCCAGTTTCACGCAGCTAGTAAGTGCCAGAGGCAGGGTCCAAACCCAGGAATGTGAAACATGACTGTGAGGCTGGATGTCAAATTTCTGCACACAGTTAAAAACAGGTTTTTTTGTTTGTTTGTTTTTAAAATACAATTGACCCCAAGCTGCCTCTGACCAAAGCTCTGGCCCGGAGCCCTTGGGAGCATTCCAAGTGTGGCAGAGCTCAGGTAGAGAGCTTTGGTGCTCACATGGTAGACACTGTGGAGCCGAGGGGTTGCGGGCGTGTTGTGTAGCCCTGCCTGGTCCTAAGGCTTTATGGCTGAGATGCTTGGTGCAACTGTGGCCCTTCCAGAAGGTTGAGTCAGCCTCGGTTTGCTGCAGGCGCCACGGTGCCCTGAGACTTTGCTGAGCCCTTGCATAGTATGAGGGAGGCATACCTACCGTCCACCTGCTGCTATGAGTCACAGAACTGCCACCGTGCTGCCCGGCCTGCCAGCTCCGCCTCCCCCCCCCCCCCCCCCCCCCCCCCCCCCCCCCCGCCACAGTGCCCAGACAGAACTTAGCCATATATGGCAGAGGCGCCAAGCAACGCTTTTCCCAGCCTGCCTGCCTTTTGGAATATGTCCTTAGACAACCAGCCGGGTTGAAGCTCAAGGTCCAGGAGGTTTCATTTCCTTTTTACCAGGTGGCCGAGGAGCGAAAGGGAAAGAGCAGCCTTAGCTCCAAGGCTCAAGTCCGAGAGGAGAGTCAACCCCCCGAACATGTGGAGGGAGGGGTACAGGATTAGCAAGTGCCCTGGGTGCCTGGCTGAGGCGAGAGAGAGGTAAAGGAGGGAAAGACAGTTCTATTAAATATTTCAGGCTTTAAACTACTCAGTGTATCCCCTTTGACATTTGCAGGGGGTTCATCGCGGAGAGTCTTGCAGCTGAAAGGTTCCCACTTTTTCTTGAATAAAGGCTTCCTTATCTGCCTAACTAACATTCCTCAAATGATTGCAAACCTCGATTGCACCTAAAAATGCACCCTTTGTGCAAAGTTCTCCAGAGGCACTCTCCTTTGCTGTTTTCTGTTGCCAGCACTTGAATCAGTGTAATAGTGGGGTAAGAGAGCCAAAATGAAATAAAATCAAACCTTCTGTTAAAGTACATAGCAGTAATATTAAACTACACACGTTAACGCAGACTGTGCTTGCATATGCTCATATGTGCCAGAGGCCCCCTAACTACCACAAATGTTTATGTATATTTGTTTCCTCTTAGAAGATACTAGAAAAGGCTCCATTGTGCTGTAGGTCAGGGTGTATGGATGAAACAACTAGTACTGGCTTTCTGCAAAGGAAAGATTTATGAAGGAGCTCCCATGGGAAGGCATTCTCGTAACTACCTCACGGAGCCCGTGATGACTGGGGAAAAAAATGCATCCTTTTCCCCTAAGTAATGAAAACTTCAGGAATGTTTAAACAACTTACATTCTTTTCAGGTTTCAGGTAAAAACGATACCTGACAATGTCGAGCAAAACAGCAAGCACCAACAACATCGCCCAGGCACGGAGGACTGTGCAGCAGTTGAGAATGGAAGCCTCCATCGAGAGAATAAAGGTAAGAAGCCTGGATGGGATCAGACAAGTTTTCTGGTCAGGCCCCTCTGTTCGTTTCTACCCAGCATGGGCTTCATTTCAAAAGCACAGGGAGGAAGCCAAAGTGTCTGAGTTAGCCTCTCTATTTGAACAGAATACCTAAATCCAATGACAGGATTCCCCAAGGACCTGCCTTCCCTGAAAGTCCTGTGATCTCTCTGTTCTGCACTGGGACAGGGTTCTAGATGGACTTTATAAACACCCTTGTTATCCCTCTGGAATTTACTAAGCACTCTAGAGTTATATGTGCAGGTGAGCTAGTCTTGCACAGCAAGGTCAACACTCAGGGTCTCCTTTTTTAAGACTACACCACTTTTTAAATGTGTACGGACTATTTTAATGACCACATTCTGCACCCAGGGTGAGTAATGCCAGCCTTAATTGAGATCTGCAAGAAACGGGAAGGCATTTGTAAGGTCACCTGACTTCGAAGTCTTTTCTCCCCAAATCCCAAGAGAGAACTAGGCAGTGTGTGCCCTGGAATGTTGTGAGTAATGCTGTTTCCTAGAAACTGAAGCAGTCACCTGATACATTCCTCTGGGCCTAGAGATAGTCACCTGTCTTCAAAACATGAGGCTGCTTATGCTGTATTTGACAGGACTCAGCTGCTCTGTGTTCCTTGCCTGAGGACACTGATCTGATTATGCTGTGGAATAGCCCACCCAAGACTTCTGAACAGGGCATGGCATTTTGTTTTTAACTCCTGCCAGAGGAAGCACTGAATCTTCCAATTGGAGAGAGAAATTTTATCCCTCCTTTTATTTTCCCAAGAGTATTGACTCCAAGCCCATAATCCAGTTCCTAAACTCTGTCCTGCATTCCACTTTTGTATCAAATACAAGCTAAGATACAGCCTTCCCTTGATTCACTTATACTGCCCCATTCTCACACTTTTTATTTTGAAAAATGTCAAACCTTTAGAAGAGCTATAACAAACACCCATCTACTCTGCCAAGATTCACCAATTATTAACATTTTGCCACATTTGCTTTTTCTGTGTTTGTACACACACCCACACAACACATACCCTTTAAACCACTTAAAAGTTATTTGCAGACATCGTGACTCTTCACCCTTAAATACTTTACCTTCTTCATAACCACAGTACAATTATAACATTCGCGATCATCTAATACTATCTGATACACAGTCTACTTTTGAAGAATCCAGGCCACTCATTTTGCAGAATGGCCCTCTCATTGGATACCATCGCTTACCGATTATTCAATGCTGGCTAAATGTTTTGGCAGGAATACTTGCTAGCTGGTGATAGGTCATCTGTGCTCACGCTAGGAGGCACATGATGTCATTTTTCTCCGATCTTTAAATCTGATCACTCGGTTAAAGAAGCAGAACTGCCAAATGTGTCCCTTTACAAATCTTTGTCCTTTATAACTGATAAGTAATCTGGGAGAAACAGGGTCTCCAAGTATCACTCCACCAATCTATCCAAAGGGCCAGCATTCAACTGCCCTTTTAATGTTTGACAGTCCATTATTTTCTCATGTGTTTGCTTTGGTTTGTCAGGTTTCAAAGGCATCAGCAGACCTCATGTCCTACTGTGAGGAGCACGCCAGGAGTGACCCTTTGCTGATCGGGATACCAACCTCAGAAAACCCTTTCAAGGATAAAAAAACTTGCATCATCTTATAGAGGAACACAGAAACAGTCCCTCACCTCTTCTCAACAAAGCAAATTGTGAGCAGCTCCTGGGAAGAAATTTACCTTCAGCTTATTTGGTAACCACTGCTAATAACTAAAATACTCTGACTTGGAATGATTGACTCTGATGTCTTTATTTTCCAAGTTGCCCTTTCTCTAAAACACCTGTTACTGATTTAATACAGAATTACAAATCATCTTTTCCATTTGATAACTACGGCGTCATATTGGATTATTGCTTTAGAAAAGTTGGTTTGGGCCATTTAAAAAAAAGCATGATTATATACTTTTAAATATATGAATAACCCAGTCATAAAGATGAAAATGCCAAGAATAACTTAGTATGTTTTTAATAGGGTTGTGCCAACCTCTACAGTGTACATGGGTGAGGAGTGTTTTGTGTGTATATATACGTCTTTGTATATACACATATCAATGCTTATTTCCTTATTAAACTTTCTCTCTCCATGCCATCAGTTCAACTGCAGAAGTTATACCTTTGTCTTGAGCTGTATGTAGATAGAATAAAAGTTTTTCATATAGTTATTGTACAAAAGGTATCCACTGTAATTGAGTCATGAAGAAATGTTGGCTGACCTCTTAGGCTAAAATCAACTATACCGATTAAAATTTAAAAACGGAACTAAAAACCTTCTTATGAGGCATTCACAAGGGAACCTAAAAAGGCTCCTATGATCCTGAGTCTGGAGAAGCGGGGGGAGGCCTCTGGGGCTCATGTTTTCTGGATTATGAGGAGACACCTCTGCCACCCTAATGCCTAGAGTGAGACAGAGTGTGCATGGGCCCCTGCCAAAGAGGAGCAGGAATGTGTGAAAACCAGCTGCTTTTCTCAGCCAGACTTTGTGATTTCACTCTCTCTGCCCTGCCCTTTGTCTTTCCTCTCCCACTAGAACATCTGTTTCCAGAGCCCAAGTGGGTAGAACACGGTGGGACTGAAACATATGAAACACAATGGTATCAGGCCCTTAAGCACCTTTCAAATACCTATAGTGCCAGTGTGTTCCCTACCTTGTCCACAAACCACCTGAAGCAGGCTTGGAGTCAGGGGTACACAACTTGGGTTTTAGGGCTCCAGCAGTGGGTTCCTGGATTTTCCTTTGGACATGCATGCAGCCCTCACATCCTTGGAATTTCCAGGGGGCACCTCAAGGAATCGCCTGTGCCCAGAGAGTATTGTAACTTTATCAGAGAGAGAGAAAGGTCCTTTAAAAAAAAAAAAAAAAAAAAGTGCTCACTTAAGAGGTCAAACCATACACAAGCCTTTGATGTTTTAATTCATCTTTAGTTCATTAAAAATAACTACTGATGAAGGATTAAAACCTCCTTTTCCAAAAGGAGTCAGCCCCACGATGGAATTATTTATGATGGTTTTCCCTAGTTCTGTATAATCTTGCCCTGCAACACAAGCCCCTTTTAAAACCTAATGTCTGTTTTTGAGCATTAAGCTGATTGTGGGTGAACAATTGTAGTGCTATTTTTAAACTGCTCAAATACAGACAGTATTTCCCCAGTTACCTACCTGTTCAGTATTGTGAACTGCCCGGACTTTTCCAAGGTCACGTGAAAATCACGCCATGGGCCTTAACCTCTTGTCATCTGCCTCTGGGTTTTGCAATATGACCAGTTTCCAAGTAAATTATGGGCACCTGTTTAGGAGAGATAAAGGTGAAATTTGAAATGTGCACTAAAAAGACAACATTACATTTAATGCTTCACTTAATGAGACATTTTCTTTTAATAAGTATATTTTTCTACTGATAGTTTCAGAACACTAATCTTATTTTCACTCTGATTTTTAACATGTTTCTTTAAATATTTATAATACAGCTTGTTAAATATTTTTATGAAATTTATTATACCTTTTCATTATATGTGCACTTTTTCAGTAGCAAGCATAGTTCATTCTTGAGTACTAAATTATGTTCTTTTACCAAAAGAGAACAAATATGTTTTGCTCTCTGTTTGTTAAAGTGCTTATAGTGGTAAGGAATAGACTTGAGGTCCCTGGAGAGTTCAGCTTTTGCTGGTCAGATAACATAAAGGCTAGGAGTATAAATGTCATGTAACTTCCTAACGAGGTATAGGGCATGTTTAAGAAAAGTGAAATCACATCCTTTGATGCTGGACCCAGTGGAGAAAAATTGTAGCTAAACGTTGATTTACTTTCAACTAGACGTCTATGTGAGAAAGTATACATATAGGATATGTAGAAGTCACTTATCAGGCTTTATTTTACTTATGAAACACCATTTTTAACTGTTCTACAGCAGCTGGTTTATGATAATGGACAAATGCCCAGTATGTGTAATTGTTTTTCCAGCTACCACTATAAAAACATACTTAATCGCATATATACATGCAACTTCTTGGCTTCATATCTGTGAAGCTATTTAAATGTGTTCATTATACTTTTGCCTTTAATGCTGTTTTTCTTAATGGTGATCTCTTTCATTCTTAATGTTCATTAGTGCATAAATCTGTCCAATTGAGGCCTCAGGACCATGGCAAGATATGCTAGATAATGTTTCAAGACTCCAGAGTACTTTACAGCAACACATTATTCCAGTTCATTCACCAAGTAGAGGTTGTGGCTACTTTTTCTTCTACAAAGAATCGGGTTTTTACATTTCCTTACCTTATGAAAATGAAAGTGCCATAATTATCTTTTAAAGGAAGGACCTGCCTTCTCTCCATACTGTTTTTGTACTTTACTAATCTTTCAACTATCAAAAAAAATTATACCAGTGATTTAATAACTTTGAGGCACAGGTTAATTGAAGTAGTAGACAATGTGCTGAACTTTGGCTTCAGATGCCTTCTTCTCAGCTGATTTACAACTAAGTGTCATCTGATTACTCCAACTATTGATTGAAGATCTGTAGAGGCCCAAAAATTGAACTACATGTCAGTCCTTCTCAATAAAACATAATACTGGAGTGTGTTATGAATTGTATTTATTTCTTTTATGGTAGATCTGTTAACAGGAACAAAATACGTGAATCAAATAGAATTTAGTGTAAATTAAAATAGAGCACTTACCAAAAGTTGGGTGGCCTGGATCATAGCCTTGGCTCCTTTTTTAGCCAATGTGGTGTCCCTGTGTTGTGTGACTCCGAACAAGGCACTTCATCTCACTGGGCCTCCGTTCTACCATCTGTAAAACAAGGGGCTTGAAGTAGATGATGGTGGAGATCCACTCTCCGAAGCCTCAGTCCAATGGCCTACCCCGCTACAGGGCCTGCCAACGTGTTGGTGCTATAAGCTGCTTCAAAATATAAAATGGTTTGTCTATCATATATGCTCATTTAATAGCTTATGAAAGGACTTTTTGTTATAAAGCCTTTTCTGGTTTTATAGACTTGATTATTGTAATGTCTTGTTTTTAGCCATGTAACTCTAAACATCATTCACTTGATGTCCCAGTAATCTGCGTTTGATATATAGTTGATGGGATTTTGTTATTTTATAGCATTCTTTGGCTACTCATCTGTCCAGCATCTTATTAACCTAAGCACTGTGATCATTGTTTGGAAATCTGTCCTATGGAAAAAATAGAAACATTTACTTCACATGTAACTTCACAGATTCAAAAGAAGTTTCATTAAAACATCCTTCTCTTTATTCGATCAGTGCCTCACTGTATCATCCTACTTGTGTTTTGCTCAATAAATTAATAGAAGACCAGTTCTCTTCCCTTTTCCTTCATTCAGTTAACATTTTTTAAACCCTGAGAGCCAGATGTTGAATAACAGGCTCTGACACTCCATTGAGTAAGACTCACACAGTCCAGAGCGAGGAGGGTGGAATGGCAGATATATAAACTAACAATCAAAGTACCAGAGTACCCTGTGTGAAGGAGAGCACATAGTACTGTGAGAGCCCGGAGGAGGAAGGACCAGCTCCACAACAGTGAAGTCTGAGGAGGCGTCCAAGGGAGGTGATGGTTGAGCTGGGTCTTGAAAAAAGAAATTTTGTAAGCACTAGCATGAAGTTTTGGAAGAAAGTGAGGGAAGAGAAGGAGAGTGGGCTCAAAACTAGTGTGCAGAGTACCTCCCAAACTACTTGTTTATCCTGCAAGCAACAGGAAGGCAGTGGAGGTTATTAAAGAGGAATGATGTAATGGTATCCAATGTGTAGAGGGCTGTTTCCCATCCTGAGACCCAGCTGTGACCATGGAAACAGATAACAAATGAAAAGGCCATTACACTCAACAATGACTCATACTCACCAAGTGTTTGCCAAAGGTACCCTGCCGCCTCCTCAATTCCTTCCCTTAGGGCTGGGATTCCCTTAGAGATGAAGGAAGAATATCATCATCCAGAAAGGGGGAAAAAAGGCAGCCAATGAGTGGTTACAAACTAGGCAGCTACAGAGATGGTCCTAACTTATGAGAATCAGTACTTACATACTATAAAGAAGCCAAAGAGTCCCTCAACCCTTTCTAGGAAAGAACTAAAGAATTTAGATATTTTGGTCATGGAAAACAGCAACTAACATGCACTTTCACTTGTTCAGACCAAATTACAAGTTGCTGTGACTTTCAGTGGAAGACAACAGTATTGGGAGATGGGATTGGGTAGGGGTGGGTTTAAAACAAGATGAAGAAAGAGGGTAATAAAAAAGAGAGACAATGTAAGTAAACATGGCAGATGAAATGTTACACTACCTTAATATTATGAACAAAGAACTCACACCTAGAATGATGGTGTTAGCTTGGTGTGGAGATGCATATCGTGGCCTTTCAACTCTCTTAGATATGGCGGGGGGGGGGGGGGGGGGGGGGGGGGGGGGGGTGTGATCAGCTTCTCATTGGCAAGATGGTTGGTTACAACATACATATACCTGTGTATACACATTATAAGACACTTTATTTGGCTAAGTAGACACTTGAGGATTTCTCCCTCCTTCCTTCCCTGTCCCTAGGTTTACAAACTTTTGGGTTACAGCTCTGTAGAACCGGATTCCACCATCAGCTGTGGCCATCTTCGCACAACCTAGCATGGATATCACTTTTAGCTTGTCTTCAGAGGATGGCCCTACTGGCGACTTTACCCTTTTACCACCGTAAGCAGCAAACAACCTTTGCCTTCAGATGAGCCCTTCTGCTACTCCAATTACTATCACCTTATCAGAGTCATTCATGTCTATTAAGGCCATTTTACTGTAGGCCAGCCTTGGACAAACACACACAACTGGTCTCAAGAACCCTTCCTTCAATTATCAATTTTTTTCAGAAACCAATATTCTCTTTATCCCAAAGGGAAATGGCAATCCTAATAAATTCATACTAAAATCCTAATGACTTAATGGTTAGTAGATCATTGGAACTATAAAATAGGACTATGGAAAGAGCAATGTTTAGCATAAAGGAGTAGAAAATAGTAAAGTTTTAGCTATCATTGAGAATTATTTATATGAAGCATTCTTACACCCTATGAATCCTAATCTATTCAATTATAAAAGTAATTGAAACCACTGAGGGATAATGGTAAGATGCCAGGCTTGGAAGTCTAAGAAATGTACAGCCAAAATATCTATGTACAAGTTGCTACTTCTGGTCTCCAGATCCATCCCCACCCCCCTCCCCCACATCCTTCCTCACACACATCTTTCTTAGAAATGAGAGCTTCACTAAGAGACTTCAAATCTGGTCCTAACATAAAATACTCATCCTGTGACATCATGAGGGCCCTGGGGATGGATGTATAGGTTGTTACACTGGGGCCAAACCTAAGGCAGTCACTCACTGGAAGAACATGGCCAGCAGTTCTACTTTATTCCTGGCACTGACAGACTTGAGCATTAATGTCTCCTAGGATCTGGTTAAGGATAACCCTAAGTAAAAGTTGACATGTGAACGAAAGAGAAAAACCCAGAAATAAACCCATGCTTATATGGTCAATCTATGACAAAGGAGGCAAGAATATACGATGAGGAAAAGAGTCTCTTTGATAGATAGTGCTGGGAATACTGAACAGTTACACACAGAAGAATGAAACTGGACCACTTTTTACATCATACACAAAATCAACATGGGCCAAAGACCTAAATAGGAGACATAAAACCATAAAACTCCTAAAAGAAAACATAGGCAATAATTCCCTTAACATCAGCCTTTGCAACATTTGTCCAGATACGTCTCCTCAAGTAAAGAGAACAAAAGCAAAAACAAACTATTGGGACTACACCACAATAAAAGGCTTTTGCACAGGGTAGGAAACCAACAAAACAAAAGGCAGCTTACTGAATAAGACAAGATACTTACAAATAATATATTTGGAAATGGGTTAATATATAAAATAAATGACTTACGTAACTCAATACATATACACACACACTAATAAACCTGTTAAAAATGGGCAGAAGACCTGAACAGACATTTTTCAACAAAGACATACAGGTGGCCAACAGACACATGAAGAGGTGCTCAACATCACTAAGCATCAGAGACGTGCAAGTCAAAACCACAATGAGGCATCAACCTCACACCTGTCAGAATGACTAGACTCAAAAAGTCAAGAAATAATGTGTGTTGGTGAAGGTGTAGAGAAGAGAAATCCTTTCTACACTGTTGGTGGGAATACGAATTGATGCAGCCGCTGTGAAAAACAGTATGGAGGTTTCTAAAAAACTAACTAAATAAACATACCCTATCATCCAGTAATTCCCCTACGAGGTATTTACCCAAAGAAAATACAAACACTAATTTGAAAAAATAGATGCACCCTTACATTTATTGCATTAAAAATATTTTTTTTTAATCCTAGGGGCGCCTGGGTGGCTCAGTTGGTTAAGCGTCCGACTTCGGCTCAGGTCATGATCTCGCGGTTCGTGGGTTCGAGACCCGCGTCGGGCTCTGTGCTGACAGCTAGCTCAGAGCCTGGAGCCTGTTTCAGATTCTGTGTCTCCCTCTCTCTCTGACCCTCCCCTGCTCACGCTGTCTGTCTGTCTCTCAGAAATAAATAAAACATAAAAAAAAATTTTTTTTAATTCTAGTATAGTTAATATGCAGTGCTATATTAGTTTCAGGTATACAAAATAATGATTCAACAATTCTATATATTATTCTGTTCATCAAGACAAGTGTACTCTTAATTCCCCTTCACCTATTTCACCCATCCACCTCACCTACCTCCCTTCTGCTAACCATCTGTTTGTTCTCTGTTGTTAAGAGTCTGGGGGGTTTTGTTTCTCCTTTTTGCCTTTGTTCACTTGTTTTGTTTTTTAGATTCCACCTATCAGTGAAATCATATGGTATTGGTCTTTCTCTGGCTTATTTTGCTTAGTGTAATACCCTGCTAGATCCATCCATGTTGTTGGAAATGGCAAGATTTCATTCTTTGTTATTGCTGAATAATATTCCATCGTGTGTGTGTGTGTGTGTGTGTGTGTGTGTGTGTGTGACTTATTTATTCATCTGTCTATCCATGGACATTTAGTTGTTTCCATGTCTTGGCTATTTTAAATAATGCTACACTATAGCCAAATTATGGAGGCAGCCCAAGTATCCATGGATAGATGAATGGATAAAGATGATGTGAGATACACACACAGTGTGATACTACCTGAGACATTAAAAAAAAAAATGAAATCTTGACATTTGCAACCACATGGATGGACATAGAGGGTATAATATTGAGCAAATAAGTCAAATCAGAGAAAGACAAATACCGTATGATTTCACTCATGTGGAATCTAAAAAACAAAACAGAAAGAGACCCATAAATGCAGAGAAGAAATGTGGGGATGCGGGTGGGGGGATGGGCAAAATGGATGAAGGCAAGTGGGAGGTATAAATTCCAGTAATGAAATGAGTCAGCCATGGAGATAAAAGGTACAGCACAAAGAATATACTCAATGATATTGTAATATCATTGTATAGGAAGAGATGGTAGCTATACTTTCGGGTATAGCATAACAGAAGTCAACATAAGTTGGATCTGAAAGAACATGACAGATTCACAGCAGGAGATCTAAGCAGAAACAGTTGTGGAATCACCATGATGTTGTGGAATCACCATGATGTACACCTGAAACTAATGTAACACTGTGTGTCAACTACAATTTAAAAATCTCACAACAAACGCACGAGGTAGCTACTATTATTATCCCTACTTTACATATGAAGAAATACAAGTGTGATGACATCCAAACGCATATTTGGTAGGCCTTTCAAAAACACTGAATTTTTCGTGAGTAGCTAGTATGATGTAAGAGGAAGAACACATATCCTGGAATCAGGAAGTGTAAAGTTCTAGTCCAACTGCCACTCGTTTGCTATGTAATCTTAGGACCTTTATGACTTCTGGTCCTGCTTCCAGGAAAAAAAAAAAAAAAGATCTACTTTTTAAAAAGGACTTAGTCTAGGTAATTGTTAACATTTCTTCTAGCTTTAAATTTTATACAAATTTGAGAGAGGTGAGCAATTCACTTTCAGTTGCATTTTGCCATCTCCGCCCTAAATCATTTGACATTTTCTTACTTGAATTAAAAATCAGGAGAACCTAAGTCTAGAGTATGAGGGCAGAGAAGGATATATGGGTTTGCTGTGTGTAATTATAGGTATTTAAAAGATATTTAAAGAATCAGTTCCTGATACTTCAGCTACTGACTCATCAACAGGACTGGAAAGAATTTTTAAGGAAAAATTATTTGCAGAAATGTATTTTGTACATAGGCAATTA